GCAGTATGTTTCCCAGCCAAGTGTCATTCCAGGAACGCGGTATTAACTCTCATGCACCGCCCGGGCCCCGCGTACGAGCACGTGAAAGCTTTGGCGAGAAAAGTGATAACTCGGGAACGAGAAAAGCTAGAATGCTGAAAACATACGGCAGTGTTCCCTATTCATGTAAGACAAAAAGACTTCAAATTCAGCTGCCCAGGACCGCCCGGACTTACATACGGGTATGTGAAAATTATGGCGGGAAAGTTCATAACTCGGGAATGAGAAAAATCAGAAAGATGAAGCTTTGGGAGAATGTTCCCTACTAACGCATGACCAGAAGTTTTCAAACTCAGGGGCTCACGTACGGGCACGTGAAAACTTTGGCGCGAAAATTACTAGCCCGGGAGCGGGAACAGCTGGAAAGTTGAAACTTTATGGCAATATCCCATACTCATGTACGAGAAAAATCAAGTGTTTAGAAGCGCCCGGGCCAACGCACGAGCGCGTGGAAATTTTGGCGCGACAGTTACTAACCCGGGAACGGGAAAAGCTAGGAAGCTGAAACTTCCGGAGAATGTTCCCTACTCACGTACGAGCAAAATCAAGCATTTAGAAGCATCCGTGGCCCACGTACGGCCATGTGGAAGTTTTGGCGCGAAAAACTAACCCAGGAGCGAAAAAAGCTAGGAAGCTGAAACTTTAGGGTAATGTTCCCTACTCATGCGTGACCAAAAGATTTCAAATTCAGCTCCTCAAAACCGTCCGGTACTCACGTACGGACACATGAAAATTTTGATGGGAGAACTGCTAACTCGGGAACGGAAAAAGCTGAAGGCTTTAATTTTAAGGGAATGTTCCCCACTCATGTGTGTCTAAAAGATTTCAGATTTAACTCTTCTAGTGCGGCCTTTTTAGCGGGCCGGCAACTTTACATTTGTCGGATCATTTGCTTTTGCTTTCTCCAGCTTTTATTCACAGGTTATGACTCTTTGGTTTCGCTTTTTTCCGTTTTTCTTTCATAATTTCAGGCTTTCTTTAATTCAATTTCCTTTATACCGCCATGTTGTCCCTTCCTTTTCACTACTGTCTCCAGCTCTTGCCTCGAATTCTTGACTAGTACCTTTGTCCTCTTTCCCCATCCTGCCTCCAAACCCAACCTTCATAGCGGCATCCAGGTATGCATCACCCACCACCCTCCAGCCACTGTCACCATTAATCGTTCCGTGCTCCTCACTAGCCCTCCCTTCTTCCCCTCCCTCTGCCTTAATCGCCACCCCCCGCACCCACCCACCCACCACAACCTCCCAACCCCACCAACTCCCGCCCTCCCATCAACCCCACTTCCCTAGCCATGCGTTTTAGCGGCGGTCCACTGGGCAGCGCTACTCAGCGCGCCTGGCAAAGTGCCAGGCGGAGTGGGCAAGCGGCGCTGTGAGATAGCGTGTGGTAGAGAAGCTAGGGTAACAGTCAAGCGTTCGCAGATCGTGTGTGACGCCAGCTGAGCTGAGCTGAGTTTTAGTAATTGCCATTCACGCGCGTTTGCAAACAGTTTTGTTCACTGTTATTACGTTTTGGGACGGCCTGGATGGTTACTAGTTTTCATGAGCAACACTGACGGATGCGTTATTTTTAGCAGAAGTTAAAAACAGCGTTTTCGGCTTAGTTCATTTATTTTCTTACAAGATTACGACGGTGTGGGCACTAGCTTTCAGGCACGTGCGGCTTCGCGATCGAGAAGAGGTACTTCCAGCATTCTTCGCCCTTCCTCCCTCATTGTTAGAAGATTTTGATTTCAAGCGGTCACTGAACACATCCCACAGTCGATTTCATCAAGCGATGTATTGAAAAAGTGGATGCAGTTATTCTAATACAATGTTTTGCGGGTGTGAAGGGCGGTATGAAAATTGTATCATCGAGCATACCTTCCGCTTTCAGGCAGTTGGCTAAAAAGTGCCCATGCTGAAAAACACCAGTCTCGCCAGTGCAGCCATGCGTTTTTGCGCTAAATTCGCAGGTCGCTAATAGTAGAAATGATCACTACGCTGTAGCCTAACACTTGGGCTTATATTGGCCGTGCTTTGGCCCTTTCGGGCATGCAGGAAGCAGGGCGTCAGTTGGGATGAAGGTGGTGCATTATAGAGCCGCACGGGCCTCCAGGTACATGATTACCAGTTTTTTGCATGAAACCCGGTCGCTTTTATGCGTTTTTGCTTATATGTAAATTGCAAAAACGCATTTTGCGACGATCCTGTCTGTGTGTATGTGTGTGTTTGACTGTCTGGGTATTTCAACTCGGCAACCAAGCAAGCTCCTGCGCCAAAATTTTGCTGGTAGGTTCCTGGTCAAGTACCACCCCAGAACCGCAGTATCAACTTTCACGCAAGTCTGAGCCCCCCGTACGAGAAGGTGGAAGTTTTGACGGGAAAATTGCTAACTCGGGAACGAGAAAGATTTCAAATTCAGCCTCCATTTGTGCGTGGCTCCCGCGTGCAGCCCCATGAGGGTTCCTGGCGCGAAAATCGCTAACTTGGGAATCAGGAAGGCTAGGAGGCTGAAATTTTAAGAAAATGTTTCTCGCCCATGTACAGCTTAAATTTGTCATATTCAACCCCAGCATGTGTGGTTCTCACGTACGGCCGCGTGAAATTTTTTGGCGGGAAAATGGCTGACTCAAGGACCAGAAAAGCTGGGAGGCTGAAATACTAACGAGACGTTCCCAGTCTGCATACAACTTAAATATTCCAAACCCAGCTCCCAGATATGCTCCCAGGTCGCGTGTGGCTCTATGAAAATATTGGCGGGAGAACTGCTAATTCGGGGACCAGAAAAGCTGGAAAGCTGAGATTTCAGGAGAATATTCCCCGTCCAAGTACAACTTAAAGGTTTTAAATTCAGCCCCCACGCACGCGTGTTTCTCGTGTGCAAGCATTTAGGTTTTTGACGGGGGAATTACTCACTGAATGGCTGGGTCATTTTCAAAAAACGACCGCTAAACGGGAAGTGTTTATTTCCTTTTATGCAAAACTTACAGTGATTTAAGGTATTGAGCGCATAAGGTAGGTGCGAAGAAACAACCGTTCATGCTGTTAACCTAATTACTTCAAGTCTGGTGCAAAAACGCATGATCGCACCGGCTCGCCAGGTGTGTTCCAGCCTGGGTTTCGGTAAGTGTTCGCTTTTTGAAAAAATGGAAAATGCAAATTTTTTGAAAAAATGCAATTCCCGGTTCGCTAAAAGTGGAAGTGTTGCTACAGCGGTCGTTTGTCAAAAAATCCAAGTATGCAAACGAACTGAATGTTCATTTACATGTTTGAATAAGGGCGGTCGTTCGCTGCAAAACGCACTCGTTTCTGATTTTTCGATAAAGTTGGGTATTTCTTATGCCCATCTGCAGAGAATTTCGTCTTAGAGCAGAATTAAGACCGCATTTGAAAGTAGAATATCCCAGCGAATTTTCAGCCTTGCAGCATATCTAGTAAGTGAAATATCCACTTCGTTACAAATATCTTTGAAGTACCCTAAGTCGTGGTACAAGTGCAAATCGATACTCGTTTTAGGTATACGATTTCCCATATGGGCGACAAAAAAGCTGACAAAATTCCAGTCACTATTTTCCAGAAAGTTTTCGAGTTAGCACTGTACCAAATTGCAAACTTCGACGTGATAGTACGCGCTGCACAAGCGTGCGCGACAGCTGAATTTGAAATTTTTAGCTCGTAGATGAAAAGAGAATATCCCTACAAAGATTCAATTTTGTACCTTGCCTGGTTCGCAAAATCGTTTCTCGCCAAAGAAATTTGCATATTTTTCTCGGAGGTTCGTACGTGGGGTCTCGAAACGTGTGGGGGAAGGTCTTAAAATGGGAGAGTGACACACGGGGTAGGAACATATACCCAGAATTTCAGCCTCCTAGCTTTCCTAGTTGCTAAGATGAAAGTGGGTGACAAAATTCACTTACTTCTGAACACGCATATACAGACAAACTCTCGACAATATGCGTTTTTGCTGGCTGTAGCAGCGCTGTAGCGCTGCACAGCAAAAACGAATGAAAAGTAGACAGCCACCTCTACATATGCCATTAAATGAATATGCGCAGTTTTTGTACGTTTTTATGCGTTTTTTGCAGCAGTACAATGCAGAAAACGCATGTTGACGAGGGGTTGTCTGTGTGTGTGTGTGTGTGTGTGTGTGTGTCTGTGTGTCTGTGGGTCCTTGTGTGCGTCTCTCACGATTTTTCATCTCAAGACCTACAAAAGCTACAGGGCTGAAACTTTGGGAACTTAATCTACATGCAAGTACGGACCCAATCCCAAAAATGGGCGCTATTACTCGCGTGGTACCCGCGTACGAGACCGCCAAAATTTCTTTCGGGTAAGTTCATAACTCGGGGATCTGAGAAGCTAGAGGACTGTAATTTTAAGAGGATATACGCCGTCCACTTAAGTTTCATTCAGCTCAAACCCAACTCTCGGGTATGCGTGGGAAACATGCACGGGGTCGTGAAAATTTTTTCCAGTAAGTTGCTAACTCAGGAGCCAGGGAAGCTAGAAAGCTGAAACTTTCGGGGGATGTTTCCTACTCACGTATGACAAAAAGATTTTAAATCAGCTCCTTAAAACCGCCCAGTACTCAGGTACGGACACATGAAAATTTTGATGGGAAAACTGCTAACTCAGGAACAGGAAAAGCTGAAGGCTCTAATTTTAAGGGAATGTTTCCTGCTCCTGTGCAGCTAAAAGATTTTAAACTTATTTCTTCTTGTGTGGCATTTTTTTGCGGACCAGCAACTTTCCGTTTGTCGGGTCACTGAAGTCGACACCTACAACTGACATACCTTAACCGCAACTGTATACAATTAACTTCCCGAATTTCGAGGGTCAGTATTTCACAGGGTTAGCTACTGTGATTCCTTGCGATCTTGCTACAGCACGAAAAGTGCAAAAACGCGTAATCGCACCGGCCCGCTAGGTGCGTTCTAGCCTGGGTTTGCATGAAGTCCGGTCGTTTTTTCGGTAAATGCTCGCTTTGTGAAAAGATGACAAATGCAAATTTCTTGGAAAAGTGCAAATTTCCAGCTCACTAAAAAAAACGGTCGCTTGTCAAAAAATCCACGTTCATTTGCATATACAGTTGCGGTTAAGGTCCGAGCTGCGGACGATTTTTTTGAAAATGTGCAAATTTTCAGTTCATTGAAAATTGAAAGTATTGCTCGAACGGTCGTTTTTTAAAAAATCCATGTTCATTTGCATATACGATTACGGTTCAGGTCCAAGTTGCTAACGATTTCTGGGTTGAGGAGCTGCTTGAAACTGTGGTCCTCTTCCGACTTTCTAATTTCTATATTTTCAGTGAACGAACATTCACGGAAAAACGATCGAACTGTATGCAAAATACTGATAATCATGCACGCTGAGATCCATGCGGCTCCATAACGCAGCACCTTAATCTTATCCTATGCCCTTTCTCGCTGCATGCGGGAAAAGGCCAAAACACAGCCAATATGAGTCCTTGTTAAATTACAGCGCAGGAACATTCCTACTATTAGTGATCTGTGCTAGCGCAAAACGCATGATCGCACAGGCAAGCCTGGTACGTTGCAGCCTGGGCCACTTTTCTTTGTGGAAAATCTACGGCAGCCACGCGTGCTGGAAGTTAATCCGATGCCTTTTTGCAAGAGATATCGTGCAAGAAAAGACGTTAGACTGTAAATCCAATAACTGTTCATACTGTTAATGATCTGATTTTTTCAAATTTAGCGCAAAAACATATGATTGCACCGGAACTCTGGTGCGCGTGGTCAAAATTATCTAGCAAAGATTAGGAAAAACGTACAGCTTCAGTGCATTTGTGATGCTCTTTATCAATGCGTTTTCTAATAACGTCTCCGCCGCCAACCAAACGCCGGGTAGCCTGCACTCTAAAAAACGAGTAGAAGTCCAAAAATTCAAAATTATGCAATCAACAATGAGCATCTTTCCCACTAGAATCCACGAATTTTTTATTGATTGCTGGTCACCCGTAACTAAAAGTAAATAAGCTTGTGGTAAATCCGAAGTTCAGAGAGCTCAAGCTAAAATATCGCATCTTCACTTGTTTTCAACAACATTCATTATGCACTTTTACATATTTAAACAGCACAAGGGCACATTTTGACACGAGGTTGACAGAGTGCGCGTGTATGTGCGTTAACATTTCTGTCATCACTTTCAACTTAGCAACCGGTAAAGCTAGTAAGCTGAAATTTATGGAGCACGTTCTCATTTGTAAAATCATCATTCATGTACACACGGGTCTCATGCACGGGTGCTTAAAGAAAGTGATACAGATTTTTTGTGGGAAAAGGATTTCGGGGTCCTTATGTGAACTAAATAATTCAAATTTAGCTTCAATGCACAAGTGCTTCATGTTACGGATAAATAATAATTGGCCAACGCGCGTGCTGGCCGTACAAAGGCGCGTTTTTTGCATAGTTCTCCGCCGTTTTGGCCGCTACCGGCACCGGTTTTTCCGTCTAATGCTTCTAGCTAAACAAATTAAGACTGGCCGCCAGAACTATCAGGAAACACCTCCTTAAAATTTCAGCTTTCTAGCTTCTCAGGCTCCTGTGTTAGCAACTTACCCGAAAAAAATTTCACGAGCCCGTGCTTCCCACGCATACCCGAGGGCTGGGTCTGAGCTCATTAATACCTGCTCGGACGGAGAATGTCTCCTTAAAATTTCAGCTTTCCAGCTTCTCTGGTTTCCGAGTTAGCAGTTTGCCTGTAAAAAATTTTGGCAGGCCCATGTGTTGGTACCATGCGGGTAAGAGCGCTCGTTTTAGGGATGGTGGCCCGTACACTCGTGTAGATCAAGTTCCCAAAATTCCAGTCCCGTAACTTTTGTAGGTCTCGAGATCAAAAACCACGACAGACGCACACACACACACACACACACACACACACACACACAAACACACAAACACATACGGACAACCCCTCGTCAGCATGCTTCCTCTGCATTGCATAGCCGCAAAAAACACATAAAAATTGCGATCTTGTAATAGTTGCTAAAATGCAAAATGAAAAACGTAACTAGGCTGAATAGTTTCTTCTGACTTTACGAGAATGTTTGCTGTCTATGTGCGAGTCCATACACATGGAAGGAGCAGTCACTTACGTCTCCACCACACTTGCGGTCATATCAAGTTATTTTTGGCGCGAAAAATATTTTGGGAGCCAGCTAAGCTAAGAAGTTGAAATTTTCTGAGGGCATGATGATGTACGGGATTCTAAGCACTCTCACTACAGATGAATCGCGCAAAAACTCTTGTTTTCAGCAGCAAGCCTGGTGCGCGTCGTAATTGATTTTCTAATTTGCGTTTAGTATAATTCTGTACCTTACGCCTAAATTAATAATCATTGACCTAGTTTCGTCTTATTTTTTGATCGAATTTAGCGCCCCACATTGTGCTCAAAAACAATTTATCATATATTTTCTTTCGGTCTTCCTTTCTGCCAAGCAGCAAATGACTACTCGTCATATCTGATAAATACGCAAATAAAACGATTTAATAATTTACCTGTAAAAAGCCCTTGATTTCGGTCCGCGATTGATCATCTCGTATTCTGCTTGCCGCTGCAACTCAACTGGATCAATCTGTGGATTTCTTTTCCTGATTTCGCGCATTATTTGGATGAATGCGTTTCGATTATCTTCAAATGCTTTTACAACCGGATCAACATCATCCTAAATTTTGAATAATTCAAATTTCACAATTAAAGGCTCGCTAAACGATTTGACAAAAATTTGATTCATAATCCTAGGCTGAAACGCACCAGGTTTGTCGGTCTAGTCATGCGTTCTTATGCGTTTTTGCTGTGCAGCGCTATAGTGCTGCTACAGCGAGCAAAAACGCACATTGTCGAGGTAATCATGTGTGTGTGTGTGTGTGTGTTTGGAAGTCACCCACTTTCAACTGAGCAGTCAGCAAAGATGGGAGGCTAAAATCTCGGGGGCATATTCCCACCCTATGTGCCACTTTTATTTTGGTACCATTTCATTATTTTATTTTGGTGCCATTTCAGCGCAATTATTTCACTTTCTATGTTCAATTGTCTATTTCTGATTTTCTGTTTTCATGCGTCATAGCTTACTGTGTGAGCGTACTATCATCAGAAACTGTCAAGCAGTCGTTCATATTTTTGATTATCTAAAGACTTAAAGCAGCAGAATTCAGGTCTAAAGTCTGCTATCTTTCAGTTCTCGATCCAATTTAGTCAAGTTCGGATTGGAAGTAGGCAAGGTATTATACCTGAGGATCGGATGAAGCTATGCACCATCATTTTTCGCGACTTGCTTCACATACCAATGAGAGATCATAAGGTGAAAGTAAGCTCCAGACAGCAGCGTGTCCTCAGGGTCTAATGCAGGCCACTTTTATTTTTCCAGAACAGAGCAGACTTTTAGTTTTCGATCCCGACTGTAATGTAACCTGTGACTCAGGTCATTATTACGGTCCAGCGTGAAGAAGGCGATTAATTCGAATTGCTTACAACCAGCACATAGGTGAAATGATTATTAAAACACAGTAAAGCAGCATTTTGAATATGCTGAAGCACCCATCCACCGTATATATATATATATATATATATATATATGTGTGTGCGTGTGTGTGTGCATACGTGTGTCTACGACAGTG